GACAAACTGCTGGAGGAAAATAATTCATCTGACAGCAAAGATGCAGTGGAGTCTGATTCTGCTCTTCCTGATGGGTAAGTTGATCTGAAACACAACTAGACTACGAGGAAACAGAGATACCTCTGAGTTATCACACAGAAATGTTAATGAAAACGATTGTAATTGTATTTCATTGCAAATAATAACTGTGTTGTATGTTGATGAAGTACTCCTAAATTAATAAAATCATGTTTACTGTCTACAGCTCAGTGTTGTTTCATGGACTGTCAGCTCTATCAGTTTTACTACAATAATGAAGCAAAGACCTGGACTGAAGCTCAGCAGTACTGCAGAGAGAAACACACTGACCTGGTCACAGTGACTAACATGAAGGACATGAAGAGACTCATCAACATCTCAGCTGGAGATCAGAGCGGAGCCTGGATTGGTCTGTATGATCAAACACATGGTAACAGAACTTGGTGCTGGTCTCTGCCTGGAGTGGAGTTTAATGAAAGTGAGACAAACTGGAACCCAGGAGAACCGACTGATAATGGAAATCAAGTAACACATGAGAACTGTGTGATGGTGAATAAAAATCTCAAATGGATAGACACCAGCTGCCTTAATCAACATAATTTCCTTTGCTCTGATGGTGAGAATGTTCATCTTTTTATCAGTTATTTTTATCTATTTTGTACAAACAAGGTAAACATAAATATGTTTGATTACTCCACAGAAACTAATACAACCCATAAATATCACTTGATTGAAGAGATGAAGTCCTGGCAGGAAGCTCAGAGTTACTGCAGAGAGAAACACACAGACCTGATCAGTGGAACGAAGCAGCTACAGGATGAAGAAGTGAAGAAATTGATGAACTCTACAAGTGATTCCTCATACATTGGTCTGTTCAGAGACACCTGGAGGTGGTCAGATGGAAGCAGTTTCTCTTTCAGACACTGGAATAAAAACTTTAACAATCCAGAAACCAACAGTGGTCAATGTGCCATGACTAAGTTTGATGGTGAAGGCAGATGGACGAATGTGAACTGTGGTAATACAAAACCCTTCATCTGTTATGATGGTGAGTTTGTCCAAACAGATACTACAAGTTTATGTCAACAGTAGAACTGTGAGGATTCAGATTTTAAGTATTAGTTTATTTATCTCATAGATAATTTCAGTGCATCAAGCAAAAGCCCCAAAAAGTTTTGTTTGGACCAGATGTGGATAGAAACTAGTTACATTTACTCAGAAATTTATTTTATCAGCATTTTGGATAAAATGCACTTTGTGTAGTTTTAAACCACAATACTTTCTACTTTTACTTAAAATATTGCTGCTCTATCTAGAATAATATTTCTGGATTCTCCACAAGCTGTGCGAAATGTCAAGAAATAAATATATTTTAAGCAAGAATGTTCTGGATCAAACAACAAACCAACAGTTGGTGTGAAAGTGAGACTTCCTGTTCCTGAGACAAGCTCTGTTGTTCTGATGTTTTTCTCCACCTGCTGGAGGTTAAGTGAAAATACAGTGACCTCTTTAAATTATCACTAGAAATATTTTAGCATGTTTTGATCTACTGTGTAAACTTTAACTACTGCTATGTTATTTGTTTCACAAGTTTTATGTTAAGAAAATGTGATTTAGAAATGTTCCGTCTGCCTAAATTTATTCTAAAATTATAGTATGAAGTTTGATTATTTACATTATTTTTGTCTTTAAACCAGCACTTTTTACTCATTCCTTTATATTTTAGCCAGTCTGATGATATTTTCTTGAAATAATAAATCACTTACTGTGCTGTTTACCAAAATTTTACTCTTATTTGTATATTTTTTTTTTATTTTACTTGAGGACATTTATTGAAGTAGTGCTGCTCCTACTGGAGGGCAATTCTGAGTTGATCTACCACCTCTGGTTTCGGACCAAACATATATCTGTTGTAATTGATCAAATTTGTTCATCACCATGATTTTGTTAGTTATAATATGTTTGTGTTGATCACTTCTATGACAGATGAATTGATCCTGATTAAAGAAAATAAAACCTGGGAGGACGCTTTAGACCACTGCAGAGGTCACCACCATGACCTGGTCACCATCACCAACATGGATGACCAGAAACGAGTTCAGAAAGAAGCCAAGAAGGCCTCGACTGGATACGTCTGGATGGGACTGAGCTACGCCTGCACTCTGGATCTGTGGTTCTGGGTCAGTGATGAGGTTGTCAGCTATAAGAACTGGGCCAAAGGTCAACCGATGGACGACTGTGACATGTCTGGAGCCATGGAGACGGGAGGGAACCATCAGTGGTTCAAAAGAAATGATGCTGAAAAGTTTAATTTCATCTGTTCTAAGAAAAAAATCTCGCACAGTCCCTAGTAAGGAGCTGTTTATTCTGTCTACAATATTATATACTGCAGCTTTATTTTTTGTTAATTAAGTTTAAATTTTTTGTGGGGTGTGAAAAATGTCCATACATTAAATCTAATTAGATTATCTGTTGTGAGCTTATTAGAGTGAATGTCTTGCTTTGCGTTGTGATCCTTCATGTACATGTATGTTTTCCTTCAGTAATAAAGCCTTTAAACCTGCTCACATGACCTACTTATGTTTCATTTTGCATTCTCAAGGTCAGAACCTTCAGATTATTTGTTAAGATGAGACGTAGATTGATATCTGACTTTATTTAAAACCATAGATAAATGTGGAGTGGAAGTCTGAGCTATGGAAGAAACAGATTTAATCTTTCATGAGCTGAGCTTTGGAGGCGTTTAATGTCTGAATGTTTCCTCACGCCAAGCATCAAGCATCTGCTGGGCCTTACAAGGTGAAAACAGAGAACTGATAAGATTTCCTGAAACTGTAAACACCAAACTTTCTGCTCCCTGTAGTCAAACAAATAGATTCTAGTTGGGTGTGTGAATGTTTATGCGTATGAGCTCAAAAAAGGAATATTAATAAAATTACTACTTTTTTTTTTCCAACAGGTCCTCATTCATGGCATTCAGATTCATCGTCTGAGTGTCAAGATGAGGCCCAACAACTTTACTATCACAACTAGATAATTACGGCTTTTGCTACGATGCTCCACTTGACATATATATATATATATA